CCACGCTCACGGTCTCTCTCTCGTTCTTGCTCTCTGTCTCTATCCCTATTACAGTATCGATCTGGCCCTCTATCTCTCTCCCAGTCGTAGTCACGTTCTCGTTCCTTATCTCGGTCTTGATCCTTGTCCAGATTGGTGTTGTCTCCATTAGAGGAATCGACCGAGTTCGTGAACCAAGCTGTAGACTGAAGGATAATGAAGGGACGCGAAATGACGCCGGCGACGAGCTCACAGTGGAGCCGAAGTCGATGAGACCTAGGTTTCGATTTGGGGGATTTTTTTTTTTTTTGTGTATTGTCGTAAAAAGATAGTAAATTTTTTTTGGCTTTGGGCTAAACACTATAATACTTAAAAAAAAATTCTACCAAACAAAAAAATAACACTTCAAATTTTTGGATCTGAAGTTTCTAGCGCTTAGGTGAATTTTTCATCTAAGTATTGGCGGAATAAGTGATTTTCGCTTCTGATTTGGTGATTTTTTTTCTTAGCATTGTTTCAGTGCTATTATATAGTAATCAAAAATAAAATTCATCTATCATAACAGTTACGAAAAATGAGCTATCGTCATATGCTATCAATGTAGATATTTCTTGTAGTGTCTTGCAGAAGAAAGATTCACACATGACATTGCTAGTTCAATTGCCTTCCATACAGAACCAATGTCTTAATCTCGGTAGAGGTTTGGATCTATAATAATTCCAATATCTCCTGTTCTTGCAATAAACCCAACCCATTCTACTATGTGAGGCTTTTCACGAGATTGCTCAATTATAGGACGGTTTGTGATAATCTCCGATAGTACAATTCCAAAACTATATATATCACTTTTTTTCTGTCAACCAGTTTGTTTGATAATACCTGCAAAATAAAACATGGAAGATGGTTTATGGCTATTAACTATTAAAAGGGACGATGTAGTTTTATCATCTAACATAAGATATAAATTAAATACTCACTCAGGATCAAGATATCCAGGAGTTCCAGCAACCACAGTTGATACATGTATTTCATTTCCAATAGGAAAAGATCTTCAAAGCCCAAAATCGGCTAATTTGGCTTGTAAACGTTCATCTAAAAGTATGTTCGTACTTTTTATATCTCTGTGAACCTATTGGGGAATATATCGTTATGTTAATAATATCTTAGAAGATATATATTGTTGAGATTAGGAAATCTTATAGCTTGATCTCCAAGTCTAGTTTACCCAAAAGTTCTCGAATATATATATATGATGTAATCGTTGGTTAATCAATAAGAAAGAAAGCATTCATCTAAACCTAAACACTTCTTCTTTCTACATGGTATCAGAGCAACGATTTTGATTCATCGTTTTTCGTTTTTTCAAAATTCTCTGTTTCGTTTCTTTTTTCCCCTGTTTCTTTGTTTGATCTTTGATTAAGATCTGTTTCGATGGCTGAAGAAGAACAAGCGTTGGTTCCTAAGGTGATTGACAGCACCAAGTTGACGCCGTATTCACTGTTCTCCGGTGATAACCCTGGCTCCATGATTTCCTCCGTTCAATTAACTGGAGAAAATTATGCAGAATGGGCTACGGAGATGCTCAACGCTCTTAAAGCTAAGAGGAAGTTGGGGTTTATTGATGGTTCCATCAAGAAGCCCACGACTGCAGGTACGGAGATGGAAGCGTGGACCCAGTGCCGGCTCTCCCCATGTGCGGAGAGTGCTCATGCACAGGGTCCAAAATTTTTTTGTCTTTTTTTTTAAAACTAAATTTATTAAAATTAGGGTCCAAATTTTTTTTTTATATATATACATAAGAAATTAGGGCCAATTATTTTTTTCAGCTCAGGGTTCTTAATTTTTTTGAGCCGGCCCTGCGTGGACCAGTGTGAACTCAATGGTTATTGGATGGTTGAGGACTTCAATAACTCCGAAGGTTCGATTCACGGTGTCTTTTATTTCCGATGCAGCTGAGTTGTGGGATAACTGAAGAA